CCCCCCCCCCCCCCCCCCCAGTGTGAAGCCTGCCACGTTTCTCCTCCCTGCCCTTGCGCCGGTCAGGATCGTGTGAAGGAACCCGTGTACTTGAGCGTGCAGGCAGTGAACCCATTTGACATGCTGCTATGAAGACTACTTTTAGAACAACGATTAAAAAAAAAAAAAAACAAAAAAACTAACCTACGGAAAAAAAAAAAACAAAACCCTTTATTCTTTAATTGTTGCTTTTACAGTGATATTGTGCATGCGAACCAGGAGCATTTTGTGTCTTAAGAAAAATAATCTTAGAACAGATGGCTGTGAGCATTACACCCGTCGACAGAACAAGTCACAAGAATAATAGTTCAGGATTTGGTTTTCCTCTTTTTCTTGTAAACCTGAAGGGTTGATATATTCTTTCCATACATTATTAGAATCTAGTTTTGTTCCAAAGTTGTTAAACTTGCAATGAAAAGAAAATGTGCCATTTTTTTCCCACTCGGAATTATTCATAGCTGTATATTTGAAACTGCTAATTATGCGTGCGGTGTATGTTCTTAGTGCAATTTGTTCTGTAGTTCCTCTTTGACCAAACCGTGGGTATTATTAACATTAATTTATATTTGTCTCATCCTGTATGTGTGTGTGTAGTGTGTTTGTAAGTATGTGTGGTTTATAATCTGACAAGGTCATGAAGCTCAGTTTGGCTGTAATTTAATTCCCCTTCCCTTATTTTTATTTATTTTTGTACTGTGCTGATTAAATAAAATGCACTGACCATCCATTACATAGGCCTCTTTTTGTGGGCATGCCATTCACGAGTGGGGGTGGCGGGGGGGGGGGCTAGTAGAAATGATTCCTCCGCTCCAAACGTAATTGGATTTGTGTTATGGGCTGTGGGGGGAGAGGAGGGAGGTCAGGGCTCAGGGCAAGGGCTTAACCAGTGTGTTCAAAGTTAAGGTGATTAAGAGAGAAGCACAGGTGAAGTCAACTCTGGCTTAGTCGGGCATTGGGGGCAGGAGTTGCTCCTCAGAGGCTCCCTTGGCTCTGCGGAGCTGGGTGACAGGGCCCTGCGGCCAGGGGGTTGGGGGGCGGGGAGGAGCAGGCCTAGGTGTGTCCTGGGGAGGGGCTGGCTAAGGCTCCCGAAGGGGCACCAGACCCAAGACCCCATTTATGGGGCTTGGCTCTGAGGCTGCTGCCCCCACATGTCCCGGGCCAGGCTCTGTTCAGCGCCCGTCGCCGGGATGCCGGGATGCTTCCTCTCTGGCCAGCGCGTGTGGAGGGGTGTCCGCGTGGCTCGGCCCTGCCAGTTTAGTTCTGTGCAGGTTTCCAAGAGTGACCAATCCAGCCCTGGGGCTCCCAGATCAGCAGCCACCATGGCCCATGATTGTGGCAAGGGTGGCGGCTACATGGCCGCTGCTCTGTGCCCACTCCTGCCACCCGCCTAAGCTTCAGGGCCTAGGGCAGCATGGACTCCAGCCTCCCCAGGACCTGCACCCCGTGGTCCGGAGGTGCCCCTGGACACTAGGAAGGCATTTCCACCCAGCTTGTACCTTGAGAGCTGTCAGCTTTGTGATCGAGGCCACGGACTTTTCTCAGGGCGTCTCCCTTGGTCTGAGTCACAGAAGCGGGGCTGCACGTGCTTCTCCCCCCCACCTTCCCCCCCCCCGCGCCCCAGCTTCCCCCCCTCCCCCGCCCCATGATGGTGACCGGGTGGCTCCTGGGCGTGGGGATGCTCTGCCATCTCTGCACCTAGCTCACCTGCAGCCCCCGCCCCCACTCTGTCCTGAGAGGTCCCGATGCCTCCGGCTCATTCTCCTGCCACCCCCATGGTCCCCAGCCGGCCGCTGTGGGCATCGGAGCCCTTCCTTCACGTACGCGCTTGGACTTCAGTCACGGTGAACCAGGTGAACTTCGAGCCTAGCGCACGGGCCTCAAAATGGTGGAACAAAATGCTTCCATTGAACGCCGCCGCCTCCTGGCCTTCCCATAGCTTTCTTCTCGCTAGCTGTTTAATATTTTTGTTCAGAAGCCTCCAGTAAATTACCCTCCATTTTACCTTATTTGTGCCTCATGCTCCCTCCCATCGCCTGGGATAACAGCTTTTTACCAGCTGAAATGTCACAATTGTAGGTATAGTTCTCAATTACAGATAAGCAGGACACCTTTAAAAATAAGATTTAATGCTTTATTGCTCTTGACGGTAAATCAAAATATGCTCTAGAAATAAAGTTAATTTAATGGAAAATAGGAATAAACGCAGCAAACCATAAAACTGCATTTAATTAGATCAAGAGAAACACTTCATTGCATACAATCACTGTGTCCTCGGGCTCTCCCCGGGCACCCAGGAAGCATGACTGAGACCACACCCTCAGTTCCTGGTCGTTCTTTCCTCCCACGTGCTGGGATAGGACATCACGAGAAAGTGCTTGTCGACCGGCCCTCGGCGGGAGGCCCCTGCGCTGGGCCGGGGAGCCACAGGCGGCCCTGGAAGGCAGGAGAAAGGACTCCAGCCTCAGAGAAACCCTCATTGGCATGTTCCATTTCGGTGTGTCTAAAACATACCTGTGCACATATCTAGCGTAAAGCAACAGGTGTGGGGAAGTCAGTGGAAAGGAGAGGCGCCGTTCCAGTTAGGACGGTTCAACTAGTGTCAAGGTGATTGGCAAAACTCTGTTGCTAAACCAGGCTGATGGCACCTCTGTGCTGTGCAGGCAGCTGACCAGGCTTCGAGAATGAGAATGGGTGTCGGAGGACAGGATGCCAAGAGGACTTTTTGTTGCGAACTGCACGGGGTGCGGACGTTTATAGACCCTGGGAAGTCGGGGCTGGGGGCGTGTGTGCACGAGAGCAGGCTGCTGGGGCCACCTGGGGGTCAGCCAGGTGACCATGTCAGGCACAGGACGCTGTGCTCAGGCACTTGGTGTGTTTTGCAGCGTCCATGTGGCAGGTCGGGAGCGTGGCGGGGTTGGGGGGGGGGAAGCGGGTGGGGGGTAGGGTGCGGGCAGCGTCTGTGGCAGAAAGTGAAGAAAACAGCAGCGCGTTCCTTTGACACCGTGCCGGTCTCCTCCTGAGCCCTGGGCTCACCCTCAGTGCCCTCCCCACACGGCGTGTCCCAAGTCCCTCCTTTTAAGGCTCCTGGCCTGGAGGCCTGGGCTGCCCAGAGGCTCGGGGCGGAGTCCTCCGCTGAGGCTCAGGAGCAGGGCGGTCTCAGGAAGGCATGTGAGGCGCCCGTGCTTTCGGCCGGGCACGGACCGGCAAGACGGTGGCCCTCTCCCGGCGCGAGGTCTGTGTGCCCAGCCCGGGCCCCAGCTGCCGGCGGGGGGTGTATGCAGGGCAGGGTGGGCATCCTGGCCTGGCCTGCAGTGCCAGGACCCCCCAGCTCTGTTTCTGTCCCTCCGCCCCTCTGGCCCCGGTCCTCATTCTCCAAGTAAGTAGGAAACAGAGGTGTGGGAAGGGGAAAACATCCCAACTCCCCCCCCAC